CTGGGGTGAGCTAGAAACATGGGACAATAAAAACTCCATGAATCTATGAGGGTGACCCAAGCTGAGACTCCTAGGAATGGAAATATGGAACTTGAAATTCCTATTTATTTTCAACAGAAAGGCTGCTAATAAAGGGATTGGGACACCAACCCAGCCACAAAACCTTCTGACAAGATGTGCCGGGTTAAGGATGGAGCAGAAGTTGAGGGAAGGGCTAACCAATGACTGACCCAGCATGACACACACACTGTAACAGAGAGCACACCTGACTCTATTAATGATATTTTGCTACACTTTCAGACAGGAGCCGAGCACAACTGTCATTAGAGAGGCTTCGCCCAGCAACCTATGGAAACAGATGCAGAGACACACAGCCAACATTAGGCAGGGCCCGAGGAGTCCCAGGGAAGAGGGGGAGGAAGGATTCAAGGAAGCAGAGAGGTCAAGGACACCACAACAAAAGCCACAGAATCAACTAACCTGGGCCCATAGATGCCCACGGAGACTGAATTCCCAACCAGAGAGTATGCCTGGGATGGCCTATGCCCTCAGCACATCTGTAACAGATGAACAGCTCCATCTTTGTGTGGGAGGCCTAACAGGACGAGCAGAGACTGTCTCTGGCTCTGTGACCTGCCCTGGATCCTTTTCCCCAAATTGAGCTGCCTTGTCTGGCCTCAATAGGAGAGTATGTGCCTAGTCCTACTGCAAACGATCTGCCAAGGTGGGTTGACATCAATGGAGGCCTCCCCTTTTCTGAGAAGAAATGGCAGAGAGAGAGGGGGAAGGAAAGGCGAGAGTGCGAGGAGAGGAGGGAGGGAAGCTCCTATGGAAATGTAAAGTAAAAAGGTAAAATAAAATTTAAAATGCACAGCTCCCTTTTATTTTTGCTAAATATTACAACTTACAAATTCTCCCAACGTAAAACCAAGCAAGCTCACCGGAGAACCCCGACGCCCCTCAGCTGCGCTCCCCCCTGTGCTTTCTCTGCACGACTTGCATGCCTACTACCGATCCTGCTTCCTCTCTTCCCCATTTCCATTTCTAAGATGACTCCAACACCCATCGCCGGGCTCAGCCGACATCTTGTTCTCATAAGCCTTCGTTGTCTTCCATATTATCAAATACCCAGACCATTTGCATCCTGGTCCCTGACCTACCATGACTGTTTGTCACCGTCCTTTAAGCACTTTGAAATTAACTTCAAGACATCTGTGGCACTTGGGTTTCCTCTAACTGCACCAGCTTTACTTTTTGCCACTTTCTGGGTCCTTTTTCCTTCTGGCCTATAAATGTTGATTACCCTAGGGTTTTTCCTAGCACCATCTTTTCCTCTTCATACATACTCATCGGCTAGCTAATTTCAGCAAGTCACATGGTGTCATTAACACACCTGTATTTGTGGGGCTTCTCTCTTCTATTTGACTATCCAACCTAGAGAACTGTTAACATTTTACGTAATTAACATTTTTAAAAAATTGCTTTTTTTTTTAATATTGATTTTACCCATTTCTGTGACGGGCCTTATAATTCACCATGTTGGTCAACCTTGATTTTTCTATTTTTACCTAACTCTATCCCAACCCATCAGTAAATCCTCTAGCTTCTTCCTCAGTATATGCATGGAATTTGATGACCCCATCCCCCAAGGACCACTACCACCTTTTCATCCTTAGGGGCACATAGCTCTATGATCCTCCATGTTTGCCCTCAGGTGGCTATTGTACACTCCACAGCTAAAGGCCACTGTCTTTGTTATAAGATCCTGTGAGGTCCCTGCTGTTAATGTTCCGGTTTCACTTGTAACACAGGGTAATGCCCAGTCTCTGTCATGCCCAATGAGCCCTAAGGCTTTGTGCTCAGTTCACATCGTCTGTGCTGTCCTTCTGTTGGGATTTTATTCATAATTCTTTTCTTTTCAGACGTGGGCTAATCCTCCACGTGGGCTGTTATCCTTCTGTCTCTTTACCCTGACTGAAGGTTATTGAACTTCAAATCACTGGCACATGTGCTCATGTGTCCGTGCTCACCTGTTCGCTGCTCCTGGAGCATAAGCTACACTAAGCAGGAACTTGGTTTTACCCCTGCTGTTGTCAGAATCTAGGCTGGCCAGTGGCACAGCCTAGGGGTCCACAGGCCACAGAACCGTGAGTGGGCCCACAATCACTATGACGAACCACAGCAGTGTGAGTTTTTCTAAAGTTAATCTTTCTTGCTTCACTACGGAGTGAAATTCAGTATTTTCACTTGTTTCTATTAACAACAACAAAAACAGCTGTTTCTTTGTCATATAAGTCTAATTAGCATAGAGAAATAAAGGCAGCTGAGTAAAGCTTTGCTCGGAAAAGCTGTGTGGCTCTGTTTGTGAACTGCTGAGACTGGAATGCTGAGTCTCTGAAAGGTAAGGCCCTGTCATCAAACATTAGTCATGTGGACCCAGCATCATGTGACACCAGGAAATCACTGTTACTCTTGATAAATCCATGTGTGCATAAAGGGCACTCACTGTAGCGGGCTTGGTTAGCAAAGTTGAATTTCCCTTTCATAAAAGTAAAAATTTAATTAAAATGCAGTAAAGTAGATATTGAACGCACATAAAAGCTAAATAGTGATTTGAAAGTGTAATAAAAGCCCTGTATCAGTTATTTAGATTTAGCATTTTCCTATCTGACTTGATTACCTGAGGTATCTGCATAGAATTCTGACCAACATATTTAATATTATAAACCATCCTGATTATTCATCCTTGTATGTAAGACAGCTTGTGTTTGAATAAGTGATAAAAGTATTTTAATATCATGTAGTCCAATCTGTCTCTAATGGAAAACATGAATACAGAAAATAATAGAAAAGATTATAAAAGAAAGTTTACTTTTTCATACTTAAAATCTTATCTTTGCACTGTTTTAGGACACTATTTTGTCGTTTGTTCACAACAAGGTTTCTCTATGTAACAGCCCTGGCTGTCCTGGAATTCACTTTTTAGACCAGGCTGGCCTTGAACTCACAGAGATCTACCTATTTCTGCCTCCCAAGTGCTGAAATTGAAGGTGTGCACCACCATACCTTGCTTAGATACTATTTTTAACTTTATTCTTCACAGTCTTGTATATTTCATACACTAGGATACCTTTAATATAAACTAAAGACATAAAAATGAGGGTAATAAGACATATCTCTTTAAGTGCTTATTATTCCTTTGTGGGAAACCCTTCAAAGTCCTGTCCTCTAACTTCTCAAAGGCACTGAACATCACAGCTGCAGTCACCTTACTGAAGTAGAAGACCCCACTGATGTTTGCGGCCAAACAACCAGATGACTATTTCCTGGCATTCTGGAGGTAGGGTCTTCCTACTAGTGAGTTCTTTGCTGGACAGAAGTATTTTATTTTGATGTTGTCCAAGGAGATTTTTTAAAACATTATTTTGCATCATCAAATCCAAATTGGAGTTATATTTTTTTTAAATCAAGGAACCTTTTCTTTTAACAACTGAAATGTTAAAATTTCTTGTGAGGAGGTAAGCGGACGTAAGTCAATTGAATGCTCTGTCAATGTTTACCAAAAGTACCAGGATGTTCTGTTTGCAGGCTGGCACCTTTGTGGTTTGAAAGGACCCCTTCACTCTTTCCAGCAGCTGGGGTACAATTTTGTCTGACAGTATAAGGCCCCATGGAGAGACTCCGTCTATTCTCCAGGTAGCAGCTACCTCCATGGTTCTATCTGGGCAATGCCCTATAGCTCGGACTCTTGGGTGATTTGGAATTCAGCTCCCTTCCCTTAGAGTTGACAGACATGCAAAATGACGTCTAACACAGCTGACCTGCAACGTGGTCACGTGTCACCAAAGGCTCTAAGGCTGTGGCAGAGCACTTGCTCTTGTGTTCCTCACCGTGTAGCAGTTTTAGCTACAGATTGACATGTGAGTAAGCCCAGCGCCCAAGATGGCACTCTTCCATAAGCTCATTTGAGGCAGTGCATGGCCAGGGGTGACCAACTGACTCCACAGGGACTCTGGCCATGTTCCCCTGGCTGCCCTGACAGACAAGCCTGCAGAATGTCGTTCAGAGCACGCTGGCTCACCTTTGGCACATTACTTGAGAATTTCTGGCAGTAAAATGGAACCAGGAAAACTTACAGATCTGCTTCATTTGGACCTTCTAGGGTCAGTACTGAGAGCTGTATTCATTTAGGAGATATGGGTATGGCTAGTGGTATTTAAATCTGAAGCTTTACCTAGGTCACTACTGGCTGCTGCCAAGCTCCCTCCCACTCAACCCCTCCGTGTCCGTCTCCTCAGATTTATGGTCTTGAATAATGCAGCTGTCTACACACTAGTCATTCTGTGTGTAGAGTGGAAAGGCAAAACTAAAATGAACTTGGTTTTTCAGGAAACTAGATGGTGGAAACATACAGATAGGTTTCAAGTGAAGTAAATGGAGGACGGGATATGTGGCTTAGCTATAGAGCATTTGCCAAGCTTGAAAAAGCCCTGGGTTCTATTCTTACCCACATACTCTCTCTCTCTCTCTCTCTCTCTCTCTCTCTCTCTCTCTTGTGCATGTGTGTGTGCACACACACACGCACATGTGTCTTGATAGGAAAAACTTGGTGACATAATTTATAGGGAGAAGTGACACAGTGTGTAAAGAGAAGTCTTTACTGTTTGCAGCCCTGATGACCTTACTGATGGTCCAGGTGATCGGCGATGACCTCTGGCTTCCCACAAGGACTGCAGCAAGGGAGGCCCTTTCCATAATACCTCTGTTACATAGGCTAAGGGGGTTCCTGACATTCTAATTAAGTCTTAGAGCTTTGTACTTAACTATATAGATTAAGTGATGTTTGCCATCAATATTATAGATATTTCCTACAAAGATATGAGCTACACAGTTATGACACTTTAAGGGAACAGATTAACCAGAAAAAAAACTGTAGGTACAGCATAAAAATGAGTAAAGGTATATTCATGTGGAAATATGACCCTGATAAGTTACTAATTGTAGCTTTTTATTTCAATGATCAGATACATGATATAAACACATACATATATGTATATACACTTAGCTAACAGAAGACAGAGGGAGGGGTGAGAGAGCTGGAGGAGCACAGCCAGCAGGAGCTCCTTCATTCACCTCCTTATTCACCTGCCACCAGCGACAGCAGCGTGCTCACCAGAGAGAACAGACGGTGAGTGGAAATACTGGGTTAACTGGGTCATCACAGGAGATGGAAACATGTTGACCTCTGTGATCTCCATCTTCCAGTCACTTAGTGCTTACGTCATACTGGCAATCTGTACAGTAAAGTCAGTTTTGCGTCCAAACCTTACCTCAAAAATCACTTCCTGTTCACCATTCATTTCCAATGAAAGATATATCAGTATGACATAGCTTATCTTTAGCTCAGAAATAAACACACATCACATTTATTAACACTTGGTGTACAGTCAATAAATTATAACACTCAATAAAACAAAACGCAAATGGCTAACCTTAATAAATTAAGTATGAAATAAAAATGTATTGCTAACAAGCAGGCATTAAATATATCTCCCCCAATAATACCAAAAGACACTCTAAACTCAGCACCAAGAACTTCACATACTCCGGTTAACCTCTTACAATTACCACTATTTGTAGCACAGCATTCCTTAAGCGCAGTATCGCACAACATTGAAAAGTAAAAGGGCTTGGGAAAGCCTCCCGGTCAGTACCCACACGGCACTTCATTATCCTAACAGTCAGTGTAACTGGGAATGAAGAAAATCAGGAACATCTGCTTCGTGGAGAATGAACATGTGGGTTTTTAAATGCTGTTCAGCATAGCACAATTGAACTAAGAATAATCAGGATTAAATTAGGCAATTTTGTTTCCTGCACTATCTTACTTTTGAGAATGAAGCATGCACCTTCCCCTACTCTGTGAAACCTCCTCTCTCTATGTATCTTAGGCCATGCCTGAGGACTTAAGCAGGGCCACTATTTTCTCATACTTTAAACAGCAGTGTGAGCAGCTGTTCTGCTGGAAGGCTGGGGAGGAAAGGGAAACAGGACAGAACAACAACCAGCTACAGGAGCAATACCCACAGCTAGGCAATGTTGGTGTAAGCATGTTAGCAGACACAACTGTGGGAAGATGGGTAAAGGGCCTGCTCTCAGCCTGAATGATAACACTAGGCACCTGAGGATGGCAAATGCCAAGGTGCGGGGCATCAGACTGTTCAACATAGCTTGGTCCAGACTGAGCAGCAGCTGTGTCACCCACAGAGCACTCAGCTGTGGCTATCAAGCTCCTACAATGCTTTTGGCAACAGTGGAAACATCAGGCAGCTCTACAATCTCGAACAACTAGCAAAGCAGCACCTGCTCATGTGACACAGGCAACTGGAACACTGTTACTCCAAGCTGTTCTTCACCTGTTTCCTTAAGGGAGCTTTAACTCTGCCACATCTAAAGTACTGTCTCGTTCCTTCTGACATATGCAATATTGTTTTGCTGTTATTATGAAACTTACTTTCATGTTAGAGTTTCATTTTTATTATTATAAATTAATCTATATTAATATTTGGTCCTTTTGAAGGAAGTACAGGAAAGTCTGGTTCTTTAGATAGGCAAATGCATTAGGATGCTCTTACCAGGTTGAGTCTTCCGTCTGGAACTCAGACTGCCACATGACAGAGCTGGATGCTCGCCCACTGTGCAAAGCTTTGCTTTATTTTCACTACAGGAAAAGGGTAATCTTATTTAGATAAATTCCGAGTAGGTTGACTCAGGTTGCTGTAGTATTACTCTATAGATACACTCATCCTAAGTCATATCTGAGGGCATGGCACCTTGGGTCACTCGGCACATCTCTACTGCCTTCTCCTCAGAAGCAATCTGAATTGCTCAGTATTCAGGTGTCTTCGAAGAGGGTCCTGTTCCAGGCAGCGCTTGGTGACGGCTATATCAAAGATGGACCAGAAGACTGAGTTCTTCTGTGTGCTGAAGACGTATGCCAAACAAACGCTGTTCTGCTCATCCCACACTGACTTCATCCATGATGCGGGGACTATGACGTTAGTTAACTCGAATCGTCCCTTTCTCGTGACTTAGGAACTATCACGGTAATGAACACAACACTGCCGTTGTGACCAGGGAGCGGAAGTGCAATTAAGGGTTAACTACACAACATGCACACCTCTGCTGTCTGATCCCAAGGAGGTACACCTTTGTCTGATCTTTCTTTTCATTTCTTACAATGTGCAAACATTTTTTTCTTCTCTCTACCTATTTACTTCAATACAAGAAGCCCATATCACTGTATTCTAGCAGGCTTGGCTAGTTGGTATTGTGGGAAAACACACAAATGTGAGTCCTGAACCCCATTCAGATGGCACACTGCTGATAATCTTTCAATGACCATTTCCAGCAATAGGTCCATCTGTGGATGTCTCCTATGTGGTTCCATCTGCTCAGTGATGCTGCAAAGCAGCTCACATCCTACAGTAAGGTCAATGCATAGCGGGTCTTACACAAACTACTGCCTTTGCTGACACCCATCATGAATAGCTTAAATTGCATGAATCCTCACTTCATTTTATATGTGTAAGGAGGTCTACCATCTGGAGGCACTAGGAAGGGTGGGTGTCTTACCAATGGTGCTTCACACCCTTGGGAGTGACAAGCACTAGCGAGTCAGAGCCACAGTCTCTGAGGTCACATGGATCTCAAGGGAGACTCTGGCTTCTGGTCCCCATTCACATGTTAGCTGTATGGCAAGTTAGTTTGGACTTTCTATGCCTCCACATTTGTTCTGCGTGATAAAGCTAATAACACCTACCCTGAATAGTTGCTACAAAGTTGACAAACCCATCTGTAAAGAACCAGCAGAGATGAAGTAAGAGCTTAGGGACAGTAGCAACTATGCTTCCCAATGATTGTCTGTGCACTGCACTAGTACCTACAGCAGCACTTCAATGACTGCTCTGTTTTAAGAGACCAGTCAAGTATGGGGCCAGTTGATACAGGGAGAAGCAGAGGTCAAAAAATAAACGTTCTTGAGTATTTTTACAAATTTACTTTCTTATTCAGCTGCTTCTAAATGCAAGTCTAACCTCTCTAGATACGTTAAGGAGGCGGCAGGTGCCTTCATTACTTTTCTACCTTTAATCTAGAAAAAGTGCTGATAATGACCCTGAACTCCTATGACACTTTCACAACTATCATCTAGGAAACCGCTGCCATCAGATTGATGCCTTTTGGTGTCAATCAAATAAAAACAGAGTAAGATGGGATTTAGAAAGAGCATTTCAGAAGTGAGCCCATTATAGGAGTGGCTGTGATTGTCAGATAAGCCTCCCAGGCGATATGGAGAGATTAAACCATAAGGCAAAGATGTCAAATAAAGTGATTGAGCTGAGTTCTGCAGCCTCAACCAACCGAGACTCTAACATGCACAGTAAAGCTGCTGCTCTGAGCTGAAGGCCAGAGTTTGAGGAGATGATATGTCCATACCCCTAGGGACCTTTAATTCCCACACACCACTCTAGAATTTGCACAGGCTTTCACAGACCGAGTGGTCCAGCATCTAGTGGTTGCAGCATCTAGACGGCACCTTTCACTAGTGGGAATAAATGTGCTTTAAAAAGATGCAGAACTCAGCGACACTGACCACACATCACCCCACAATCAGGAATGATCAGGGCATGATAAAGCTTCATGCATCTGGATTGTCCCAGCAATCTGATTAGCTTCTGGTCTGAGGCAGTTTCTTTACTCTTCATAAATGTTTCCATGGATTAAACTGCAAAGTATCTCTTTCATGCTCTGTAGAAGCTCCTGCAGGTAGTTAAAATAGATTCTTCTAACCACAAATAATGAGATGAGTGGTTTTAAATCCATGGTTAAAGTTGGTGAAGTAATAAATCAAGAAGCAGAACTGTCAAAACACTTTTGAGGACACAGTTCTGCTCGGAGGGCTCCACGCAGGGTGTGTCCCACTGTCAAGGACAGAATGGCGCTTCTTCTGTTTCCGTTCAATTCTTTCCTGCCTTTCTTTCCTTTCCTAAAGGGGGAAAAACACAAAACAGAAAACTCTAAATTTATATACACTATGTGAACTTGTTATTAAATGGGATTGTTGGAAGAAAATAGTTCATTGTAAGATTTTTGCATACACTTTCTTGTTCAGTTACAAGGAAAAAGTAGCTAAGGAATTTTGCTGATTTGTTAAGATGTGCATAAACTTACTATTAATAGGTATCAATGTCACATTTTGAGATAGACTCATAATGCCTGGTCTAGTGCCATAATCAGTGTGTAGGGAAGGAGGACCTGAGACTTCTAAGCCTTCAGCCTCTACCTGCCAACCACTGGGACTGAGGAAGTGACCACCATGGCTGGCATCATTCACTCTTTAAATGTTGAAGTTTACAAAATTATGTCCAACTTTCTGTAGAAGCTTACGTCTACTACCCTAATGCCCAGGAAGCTCAGGCAGGATTGTCATGAATTTGAGGCCAGCTTGGGCTACATAGTGAGTTCTGGACAGCCTGAACTACAGATGAGACCTTCTTTCAAGTAGATTGATGATGGATGATGATGATGATAGGGAATAGAGAAGAGTAGGATTAAAAAGAAGGATGAGAATAGTGGTAATAGGTGACATTCTTGGCATGGGAGTACATGCACAATCCCAGCTTGGGAGGCTGAGAGAGGAGTATCCTTAAGTTGGAGGCCAGCTTTGTCTACACAGCGTGACTGCCTCAAAAGCCAAAATAGAAAATCTGTGAGTGACTGCAGTTTTATAACGAATATCGTGATTGTAAAGATTAGTGGTGACCTTTGGAGAACACAAGAAGAACTGCTAGAGCCATGTCTGACTCCGCCATGGCAGCACAGGACATCCCAGATTCTTGAGAATCTACTGTTTTATTTCTCCTTGAGCTTGAGGACATTTTACAACAATGTGTTGCCCTTCCTGTGATTCTTTTGTTTAACTATTTGATTTATCAACAGCATGTTTAACTTTCAGTAGCTTGCGTATTTTCAAATAACATATTGTCCCTGAGTGACTTTGTTTGTTACTTTTAGGGTTAACTTTCATACAATGAATGAAGAAATACTTCATCCCCCAAAGGCTGTGGAGTATTAGCAGCATGTGAGTACCCACTGAGCATGACCCCACTACTCAAGGCTTTGTGTCAGCTCTCTCTGAGTCAGCTCTCTCT